TATTTGCGTGGGAGTGATACGTCATGTACCAATACGAGAGTGATTGGTTTAATTCTTCTTTGTTGTTTTTTACTAGTCTCTACTCTTGTTGACATATTTGGTTTAGGTTTATATTTATTAGGAGTTTTGTGTCAATATGAGTTGTTATATTCCATAATTCATCAGGTTCTTTGGTTCTTTTTTTAGCCTCCAAATCAAATTTTTATTAAGATATTGTGGTATACTCGTATAAAAATATAATAAATATTTAGTTAAATTTATTAAATATTTAGTAATTGTTGTTCCTAAAATTATTTTTCACTGAGTTTTGTCTTGTTATTAGATATTACAGTTTTTGTGTCGTTGCGTTTTTTATGATTCTTCTTTCTCTCATACATAAGTATGCATACACTTTATAATATGCAGACAATGAATTGTCTTTTAACTTTTTTTATTTAACTTGTTTAATGTTGTTTAGTGTTAATTTTTTAATATTTCACTGTAGATGTTTTATTGACGATTTAGTAGTGAGTATTTACCTCTGTAGTATTTACTAATTATAATCCAATCTTAAACTATGAACCATACTGCTGGCCTTCTATACGTTGGTTATAATTATAATTTATTATTAATTTTTGTGTTTTAAAATTTAAAATAGTAGAAAGTCCACATCTGGAAACTGGCGCACGATGAGTTCTAGGCCATACCAGTGCATAAGATTTTATAGTTTCTCAGGTCTATATTACATAGTAGTATTGTTATAAGTAGCAAAACCGAGCATACTGAAAGGTTTTCTTAACACAATATGTCAATTTATTAAGTTCCTCGTGACTAAATCGTTCGTGGGAATTTTTTGAAAAACATTCGTTAGATTTAGCTGATAAAATTAACCCTTCTAAGATCCATTGACATCATCGCATAATGATTCATCGATAAAAAGGTGATTCCGATTTTTTCAGTACATATTATTATTATTATATAACTTAAATGATACGCAATCTCGTGCACCAATTAATAACCGGAGGCGTACAAAACGTGAACTAGGAAATCGTCAAGATCGAAAGTATATTTCAAACGAAGCCCTCGCGTTTGTCAGAAATTGTTTACATAAATAAATAGTGGTTTGCTAAATTTACTACGTTACTCATAATAACTATTACATTTATGCCTCTAGAATACTAAGTTTATTTAATTTCAGTAGAAAATTCTTAACAGTTAAATAAATATTTTTGGTGCAAATTGAGTGAGCCATATTAATTAGTTTTTATGTGGTTGAGTATAACTTAAAACTTTGATGTTCCTAGTACAGCGAATGTTTTTAAATCCCAATTTAATATTTGAACAAGCTCATGAAATACAGTTTCATATCAGTCATTTTGGGTATGTGGTATATTTAGGAATATAAGAATGTTATTTTATGCTTTTTTTTTCTGCTGTAGTGCTGGCACATTATTAAAATAATTTTAACGAAGATACCAAGATGAAATGTGATAATATTATTGACATTCGACACCACAGTTCAATAGTATATAATATACCATTTGCCATGTCTTATATGTATATATAATTTCCTATATTTTTAAAGAAATTGAAGTTGTATTTAATCTATTAATGTTTTCATTAAATTTGTAAACATGTGTAGGAGCATAACATGTATAAGAAGGAATTTAAATATTTAAATTTAATTTATAAGTACCTTGCAAATATGAAAAATTACTTTTAATACTTATATTAAAGTTTTTATTTTATATATGTTTAATTTTAAGTAGAATTTATTTAAGTTTATTATCCTGATAACTAAAATTAAATTAGATAACAAAAAAAAAAATCAATGATATTCAAAGGATATGTTATATATGTATTTTAAAATTCATTATATATGATTAAGATTAATCATCATTAAAATTAAATACATCTTCTAAAATATGATGTTTATAAAGGTATACACAACTGACATGATTTTCAAGAAATTAAGTTATATAAGCCATTTCTAAATCTTATTTTTAGAATTATTTTGTTTTGTGAGAAACAGTAGTATTTTATAATTCTTAATTATGAAAGTTATGTTTTATGGAATCCAATAATAGTAATAATGATATTAATTTACTATATTCGTATTATTAGCGTAGTATAAAATACAACATTACAACATCTCACAATAAACTCTATTGTTTGATTGTTAAGTTATAACGTGGTCTAACATGATATTTATGTGGGAATTAAGATAAAACAATGTGCATGCCTATTGAGTAAATAATTTACTATCTCATACAAACTCGTGAATTATATTTGCCAATAATATTTTGTATGAATTGTAGTACATTAGTTGTTGAGTATAAACAATTCTAAATTGCTTAATTAAAGTTATTAGTTTACCATAAAAAGGTGATTATTTTGATTCAAAATGTCTATATAATTGTATGTATAAATATGTATGTATGTATGTATAAATGGATCTGTGATTTGTTGAAATCTTTTTTTGCAAAATACTTGTAAGTATTATTTTTTCAGACTTAAAATAATTTCAAATTAGGTAAAGCATCCTTTAGATATTGAACAAAATTAAAAAATTATATTGAAAAAAGTACGGCCATTCGAAATGTATAAAAAGGCTGTGTATAAAATTAAGATATGAAATATAAAATTTTAATAGCATTAGCCATTTGGTATATATACAGCTTGTACAATATATGTTATTAGATACTACTTGTCATGTAACATGAAGATCACTATTTTATTTATATGACACTAATAAATATAATTAGGGTATTGTTATTAAGTTAAAATGTTAAATGATAACACAGATTGGTGATTTGATGATTTACGAGTATGTAATATAAATAAAATTATAGATTTACTAAACAATAATTAAGATATAAATAAATATTTTATATATAGAAATAAATAAATAACCGTAGAATAGTAGTAAAATAGTTATTAATTAATTAATTATTCAATTATTAATTTTTATTATATGTTATAAGTAATATAATTATTATATTAATAATAATAGTCGCAATTTTATAGACTTGGTATACACCTGAAGATAAATTTTTAATTCGAAATCTGTCGTAAATTACAAGTATATAATACATATATATATTTATAATTATATATATATAAACTATTTATTTATGTAGCAATTTAAAAGTATATACACACACACACACACACACACATATATATATATAAATTATTTTTGTGTCGATTTATATTTAAAAAATGTATTATTATGACTACTGCATTAACTGCGTTTAGTAACACAAATATTTTAGTAAATAATAATAATGCAGATATTGCAGTGTAGTACCAATATACCGTGTAATTTGATAAACGTTAAAGGCGAAACTTCGAAAGCTGTTTAGACATTATGACAAAATGGATTAAATTATGTAGTAGTGGCATGAGTTGTGCAACATATTTCATCTCAAGGTCAGGGTGAGTGAACTAAATGCACCATAATATTATTATATATTTACGTGTATAGTTGTTTTTCTGTCACGTTGATTGTGGTGATTGATAGATAGCTAATTTTGTATCGTCTATCGGAATGCATCGGGGAAGACGGACATGCACATATTTATATTGTAACGAGAAAAGAACAAGGAAATCACAACAGTGCTGTGATGTACTTACATGGTACATGAATACATATAAAATATAGATACATTCCTTTCGTCCGTCCGTTTGAGGAATTTATGATAGCGTAATACGCCATACACGTGATAATGCGTTATCCGTTACTTTTTCCATCGATTCCTTGGCTAAAACAGTGAATAATAATAAAAAAATAACGCACTCATATACAAAACCAAAAACAATAACGAAAATATGGGCCACACGCTTCATGCTATACAAAATAATAATAATAATATAGCTATAGCTATGTACCTATAGCTGTAGTGTGGAATGCATATACTAGTGTTGGAAGTGAACACACTGCGTATTATGTTTGTGTATGTGTTATGTACAGCTGACGCGGTCGGGGCGCTAAAAGTCATGACAGCGGCATTGCGCGAGAACGTATACCCTTGTCGCTTTTGGAAAACAAACGACATGCGGCGTTGAGTCCTGCATTACGCAGAGAATTCGTTTCGGGTGGTGGGACATAGTTGTAGGATGTGCGTGGGGAAGGCAAAATCAAATGGGCTGGTGAGAGGTATTTCTAAACGGTTTTTATTTTATTTTATTCTGAAATCGTGCCAGGAATACATATGAGCACGTTTTCTTCTTTTTTTCGTCGTACGTTAAGTGAAATAGCAAATTATTTAATCAACGAGTGAGTTTCCATTTATGGAATATATTTTAGTTTATGACGTAAACTTTGATGTTCATTTTTAACACCAGTTTACGGTTTTTTCGGATCTACTCTAAAAAAAAAAAAAATTATTTAATTTGACAACTTACTTAATAATTTTACTTTTATTATTTTAAATTTAAGTATTTTTTATTAAATAGTTTTAATACTTATATATTCTCGTAATTTCAATTGTTTGTATTTAAGGTAGTTCTTTAATGGGCTTTATAAAATCTCGGTATCATGTGGTAAATATCTTATAAATATGAGTCGTGTAAAAAAAATACTGGTATAATTTTCATCGTTACGAACGTGCAGTTATTTCATACAATATTACGGCTTATCACGAGTATTGCGTAGATACACTTAAAATTTCAATTTCAATTAATTTTTAATTTAATAAATATATAAAGTAAACTAGTACTTACATAGTATTGAGGTATAAGATTTTTGAGTATGCTGTGTGCAAACAATAGGTACCTTATTATTATTACAACTATGCATAGAATATTAGTTATACAATTATTGCGTTAGCACGTATAAAGTCGATTAAATTGAAGAACAATATGATAAACATAAATGAAGAAATCGGTTGATCCAATCTAACAAATTTAATGATTCTCTTCTGAAAAAATGTAGAGTTAAACTCAAATAATGTTGTTATTTCAATAAATATATATATTATTTATTCATATTACTAATGTTATGTATTTTCTGTTTTCAGAATATTTTGGAGAAATTCAATCCAGGAGCTCGTCAAATGATCAATGCGGGCAAAGCATATTTGAAAGCTCTTCATGGTGAGTTGTGATTTAATATTTTAACTATGGACGAAAACTCTCTGTTGGTGGTGATTATAGATATATATGTATTTTATCAGATCAAGTATTATTTTATTGATGTTTTTGTGCATTAAAGTAGTATAAAATGAGTATGTTTATTTCAATTAGTTGCTCAACATGCAATTACTATTGAATATATAAATTAGTAGTCCAATAATATACAAAGAAGAAAAATACAAAGAGTTACAAGTGCAAATAAGACCGAAAATTCGATAAACAAAGACAGGTTGGATATATAGTCAATGTCATAAGATAGAATCTCTAAAGAAAAAACATGATAGTTTTAATATGCACAAGAAAGTCAAAGAGGCAACAGGAATGTATAAAGTAAACAATAATGTGAGACTACATAGTAAATATATTCAAATCATTGTAGAAAAGCACAAAAAAAATAGATAACTGGAAAAATTATATTGTAGAACTCTTTGAGGATTGAGATAGATCTGAATTTCAGCCAGAATTTAAATCTAAAAATAATGCTCCAATAATGACTGAAGAAGTCGAAAAGGCAATAGCTCAAATCAAGAATGGTAAATCACCAGGACTGGACAACTTACACAGAGAATTTTTCGAATTATTAGTTGAGGAAGGCATTATTTGGGTAACTAGGGTATTTAATAATAAATCCAGTGCTCGAAAATTACCTGCATAATGGTTAAAATCTACATTCATAGCATGTATGTATTCCTAACCATCAGAGAATTTTTAAAAAGTTTGAAACTCAAATGAGTAGTACACAATTTGGTTTTAGAAATTCAGTTGGTACAAGAGAGGTCATATTTAGCTAACAAGTGTTAATTCAAAGGGATGGAGATGTTAAGCACAATGTATATGCTTGTTTCATTGAATATTAAAAAGCTTTCGATAAAGGTGAACACGATAAACTTATAAAAATACCTCGAAAAATACTGGATGTGATTAGAATTGACAATAAAGATCTGAGTATAATAAGAAATTTATATTGGAACCAAACTTCAGCTATACGTGTAGAAACAGAAATTTTAAATGATATTCCAATAAAAAGAGGAGTGAGACAGAAATGCATCCTGTAACCACTCTTATTCAACTTATACTCGGAATTCATTCTTCAAGATGCCCTGGATGAAGTTAATAAGGGCATAAAAGTAAATAGTGAATTTATCAATAATATAAGATTTTCCGATGATATAGTTGAATTTGAAAATAATGTCAAGCCTTCAAAAATTTTTGAATAGAATAGCGAATGTAAGCGAAAGTTTGGATTGTCTCTAATATAAACAAAACCAAGTATATGATAATTTCGAAAAAACAAAATATACGAGAAAAACTATTAATTAGGGGACAGAAAATAGAAAAGGTTCAATAGTATACATATTGCGGTACATGGGTAAATGAGGACTGGGATGGAAGTTAAATGCTGGTTTGAGATGATCAGTTAAATTGCCCATTGTGTTCTGAAATCGTCCAATAAATTCATTTAAAAAGTATACTTTAGAATATTTCGTGATTATATTGTACATTATTATGACAAATAGATAAATTTTAAACAAAATAAAGTCATGGATTAATAATATTTATAATAAAAGAGTAATAACTGTTATAAAATAAATGTAAATTATTTAGATACATGTACTTATTTATTTTTTCTCAATAGTGTATATGTTTATTGAAATGAGTTTCGTGAGTTTTTAAGTCTAGATTTAATTTTTTTTATTCATATTTCCTATAATCTAGATCAATGGTTCTTATCTTGAGAAAACCAACCCTCCGTCAGGGAGGCGTGAATATTTTTAAAAACAATAAAATATGATAACATTGTTTCTGATTATTTATATTTTATCGGGTGTTATTGAGCAATTACGCATCATCTTATATTTACACAAATATTTATGCATACTATCACAGTTGTCGTAAAATATTAAAAAAAAAAATTAAAGCTAAATAATGCTAAACCTGTCATTAATATATATTTAATTGAAATAAGTTTAAAATCAAATATTTAAAAAATATAGCACCTTTTATCAAATAAGAAATAAAGATAATTCAAATTCAGAATAGGTACAAAATAAAAATATATTTACAGTGGTGTACAGTATTTTAACCAACAATCTAGTTAACATTGAATACATAATTGCTGTAATCGAATAATTAGACAAACGTCAAGTTTTTTGCATATTAAAATGGCAAATACAATCGTGTAGTGAAATAGATTATAATTGTACCTTAAATTGGTAAGTTTGCTATATTCTTATAAAGTTATAACGTAGCGTTTAAATAAGACAAAATCAAAAAAGCTATAACGATCATACATAGTTTATATAGTTATATATGTTAGTATAAACGTTTGTGTATTTTAAAAAGTTGGTCGTTCGTCGAAGTAAATCAGTCTCGTGAGCTTTTAAATTTTATAACGGGTTGGTCGAAATTGCTCTCGGGATTTGTCGGCGAACTCAAACGTCATTCCGACACTATGTATTATTCGTAAACAAGCGGCTCCCCGTTGGGCCTCTTCTTTGAATGTTTCCCCAATACTCTCTTTCTGTATATATATATATAGTATATACCATAAATCTATGTACAAAAAACAAAGAAAAACGACTTTCATTAGCAATTCACCGAACAATAAAAATAATAATAATATCAGTCCTTTTAAGTCCCCATACGTTTTTTCAGGATCGAAGCCGGTGTATGTGCATGCGCATGAAAGTGCATATATCTGTGCAAGTGAGAATACAGACCTCATAAATATTTATCAACATCCCATGATTGATGACATGTGCATATCGTATGCACAAGCGTCTTTTGTCGTACCCCAGAGTTAATGTTGTCATTGGTCTGGTCGGGGTGGAAAATGATTGATATTGTCCCTAGTGTATGTATTATTTCGGCCTCGTCTATTTCAATCTAATTTTTTTTTGTCAAAACTTTTGTTTGTACTATTTAAATAATATCGTTTTCATATAAATTTATATCGATTTTTGTTTTATTATTATTATAAATGTATATAATAATAATGATTAGATTTTACATGAGGGTCGGTAACATAAAAAAATTAACCCTTAAAAATTAAATTATTTTGCCACATATATGTATGTATAAACATTATATACCTGAATACATTTTTAACTATTTCAATTGATTTAACTATATTTGTTTTAAATTTATAAATAATAATTTTTAATAAAAAATTATTTTACATCGAGGTCGAAAGACTTGTATAATATATGTGAAACCTTCTATAGAGAATCCTAGTATTTTGTTAAATTAAAATGATAGTGTTTTTTTAAGAATGTACTCATGATGTTTTTTTTTTTACTACTTTATATGAGTATGCTTAACATTTTAAGATAAACATGGTAGAAGTTACACGGGGTCATTCGTAAATAAACGAATACTGAGTTTTAAATATATGAACAATTATTAAAAATGATACGAATTTTTAGATAACATTAATTTTTACCCTTTCTTCTGAATATGAATTATAAATAGTAATTTCACAAAAATAAATTTATGATTTGTGTATTTATGCATGTTCATGCATACATGCATTAAAATACATTAAATATAATGTATTGTAAAATAGATCTATTATTATTAAATTAAAGTTATTAATTGATAATATTTATATAGACCTACAGACTCTAAAGTTTGAGGCTGATGTTTTTCAAAATTTTAATTTTATTTAATAATTAATTTGATTAAATGTACCTATATATTGAAATTAAATTGTTCAAACTTAATTATGAACTAACATACTTTGATACGATAATCGCCTCATAAGGGGAATTAGTAGTACGCACTACTCTGAGTCTATTAGTGGCTATGGCTATTTTTTTTTTTTTAATTTAAAATACGTGTGGATTTTATAATTATTTAGACAGATTAGCAAAAATAATTACATATTTTTATTAAGGAAAATATATTAACTAATAAAATATAATTAAAAAACTGGATGTAATTCCATGCATTTTTATATACTTTAATAATATTTTACATTTTAATCGGAATCTATGTATCACTTTTACATTTTTAACTACAATATTAAAATGCTATACATAGATACTTAAAATATAAGTTATTTAAGTAATTATGTATTTATTATTATTATAGAAAACAAAATTGTTGTAATTCAATATTTTAGATTTTAATGGATAGTTTCTGAGGCAATTTGAATAACTCTGTATAAAATACGATATGAATACTTTTAATGATATTATAAGCATGTAAAATGAAAGTAATTGAAAAAATAAATAATCAGGTTACGTATAATAATGTGAAAGAAAAAAAAAAGTTGGGTAAATTGACGTGGAAAAATTCTAGGAGTTTTGGTTCAAAAACCTTTTAAGCTGTCAAACTTTACCAAAGCGCAATAAACAAAGTTTTTTTTTTAAGGGGTGAAAATAAAACTGATTTTATGTCGTGTAATTTTCATTAAAGACTGTATCAATTGATTCGCTTTAAGGAAGTATTATCGTCTCAAGGAAAAGTTTTTATTATGTTATTGAAAATTGTGTAACTCGATTTGGTTTTAACAAAAAAAGTATTGCAATAGAAATTAAAAAAAAAATAAAAAAAATAGTTTGTAATAAATAATTATTTATTATATTTATATTTCGTTATAATTAAAATTAATATTGTCGGGTTAATAAGTTGGTAAAATCAATAGAAGTTATAAATTATAATTAAGTAAAAGTATTATTAGTTTATTGTGTACTAATATTAACTTTTCATTCGCATTCATGTTTAACATTTTATTTATGCATTATTTTTCATAAAAGAAAATTAAAGCAATTATATAAATCAATAATAAACAAGAAATAGTTTTTTAATAAGTAAATACGTTAGTAGATTAGTACTTATTTATAGATTCAAAAATGTTATGAGTATATTATTATATCTTTATGGATAACCTGGATATATAGTTTTACGAAACCATAGTATTCAAACTATTTTGTTAATGTCTTGAAGTAAGTTAATTT